ATACCCAAAAAGGGTAGATCGAATGGGACCTCTAACCAGAGTTTTCTGAGGCATCTCCACACTAATTCCCACAGTAGTTGCCCCAGTTTACACTCCCGCCAACAGTAGAAAAGGGTCCCTTTAGCTTTGTTTCTGTCACAGAATTTTGCTGGGCCTCACCTAAACCCCTTTACCTATGTGTCCCCTGCAGCTGCATTCAGGGTACAACAGCAGAGTCCAGGTTACATGCATGGCGACTTTGACAACACTCAGTGCGACGCCCAGGCCCTGGTAGTTCAGTCTTTGATATCCTAGCACAGATGAGAGCCACATAGGTCCACTTGTGGAGACGGGAAGCTCTGAGTTCTTGAGGAGTTCCCAGAGCTCTTCTCAATAACTGCTTTCTGGCCGCAGCCCTCAGAATTTCCCGTTTCCATTGGAATGCAGATAAGCGGCACAGAGCGGCTCGCCATGGGCACAGAGCAGGGCCATGGGCACAGTGAGGCTCGCCATGGGCACATAGCAGCTCGCCATAGGCAGAGTAGCTCGCCATGGGCACAGTGAGGCTCGCCATGGGCACAGAGTAGCTCGCCATGGGCACAGTGAGGCTCGCCCTGGGCGCAGAGTGGCTCGCCATGGGCACAGTGAGGCCCTTTGTTCAGCACGGACACGCACAGCCACACAGGCTAGACCTACACATGCCATCGGGAAGACAAAGACATTCCTGCGCTTTCATTTGGTTCTGCAGACTCACTTAGCTGCCACGGTCACCATGGCAACTGAGGTCCTGGGGGTTGGAGCAGGAGAGTTTGGAGCAAAAGGAAAGAAAAGAAAAGATGCAGGAGGAGAGAGGAATTCTGCAGTCTCAGTTCCCTTTTCAGTGCTCTCATTAAAGCTAGGATTAGTGGACTTCTGGAACCTTCTCTGTGCATGACCTTGCTTACGCCTGGGGCTCTGGATGTTTTATGTTCAGGGCAGACGATGACATGAGAGACACTTCAAACAAAACTTGGTCTCCAGTTCAGTATTAACAACAGCGCACTCTTCCTGGACTCTCCCGTCTGCTGATTTTCAGAGTGCTGCAGTAAATGTCCAGTGCACACATCAGAACGGTGCAGTGGGCCCCGGGGTCAGCACCGGGCTGACATATGAGCAGCTTGGCTTATGATGCGGATTTTAGTTTTGTTATGACCAGAGTCTTGCGTTCCGACCCCAATGCCAGTCACTTGTGCTACCAGAAAGTCTCAGAGACAGATTTAAAGAGTTCTGGAAGGAACACGGCAACATTCTCTCCAGTGTGGGGTTAATCGAGAAATCCTGGGCAGTGTCACTCTAAGGACACTGGGATCTGCTGTACACAGGACAGACTTTGAGGGCTGGGCAGAGGAGCGTGAGCCTGCTGCTGACAGCCTGAGTTACAGCCAGCGCTCGGGGATGAACTGGGTTTGTCAGGGTTCCATGGCGGTGGGTATATTCAGCAGCAGGGCTCGGGATACTTACTCTGTCTTTCCTAAAAATGTATACTGTGACCTCGTTGAAAGAAAAAATATTATATCATACATGCCTACTAGTACTCTTGAAATACCGTATTTTCCCCAAATTAATCATTTCAGTATTCATGCCTTTCAATTCCTTTAGTTCAGGTATATTCTCAGGAAATTTTTAAGAATTTTTCATTATACAAAAAAGATGTGGTACTTTTATGCAATGGAGTACTCAGCCATAAAAAAGAAGGACACCCTGGAGACTTTTATAGGTAAATGGACACAGCTTGAGACAACACTGATAAGTGAAAAACTCAGATGCATGGGGCTGGGGATTTAGCTCAGGGGCATAAGTGCCTGCCTGGTAAGTGCTAGGTTGTGAGTTCAATCCCAGGTACCAAAAAAAAAAAAAGAAAGAAAGAAAAATCAGATGCATGTGAAAACATCATATTGCCTCACTAGTATGAGAAGCTGAAAATATATATATATATATGCAATATATAAATATATAATATTATATATATTATAGTTAAGATAGTTATACTATTGATTTTTTTTTCTCTGAGTTCACTGAAGAGAAATCTCTGCACTGGTCCTGTTCAGACAATTGAATGCAGATGTCTTATGCTCTGGGTGAATGATTTGGGGATGACAATGTGCAGTGTGTGTACCATTGTTGTTTCCTGATTGTTGTGCTTTAAAAGTTTGGAAGTTTTTTTCTCTTGGAAATACAGTGGATTTGTAAAAACAAAAAAAGAGAGAGAATTTTCCTTTATAATGATTCCTGTTATTTTCTTATTTGGATAATATGGCCACTAAACAGATCTCAGTAAACATTTTGTACTTGAGCTTTTCCATAAACTTCCTAACACATCCACAAAATACATGTAAAGACAAACAGGGGCTGGGGACTGAGCTCAGGGGCTGCGGATTTAGCTCAGAGGCTGAGGATCTAGCTGAGTAGCAGAACCCTTGTCTAGCAAACAGGAGGTCCCTCAGCACCAAAAACTTTAAAAGCTTTGAAAAAAAGATAAGCAAAGAAGTTTGTTCTGGGCTGTTTTGATTTTGCCTGAAGTTTATATAATAAGGCTTTTATATCGTCATTTGGAAACACTGTGTCATTTTATCCAGGAGACAAGCAGCATTGTAACTTTAAAATTATACTTAAGCAGACAGCAGCTTCTTGACACAAAGTTATCCAAGATTGTACAGCCTTTTGCTTTTCAAGGAAATTCACTTTTTAAAAAATCCCCCTGGGTCTAAAAGATACAAGGGGGCTGGGGATTTAGCTCAGCGGCATAAGCACCTGCCTTGTAAGCAGGCAGTCGTGAGTTCGATCCCTGGTACCGATAAAAAGGAAAAAGACAAAAAAAAATTAAAAAAAAAATAAAAGATACAAGAAGCCTGTAAATGAGTTTCACACACAAACTGCGTCTGTGCTTCACAAAAACTTGGCTCCCCTCTTCAAAATGGCAATACCAAGTGGGCTGCCTATCTCTAAACTCCAAACACACAAAAATACTACGTATTCTAATGAACCCCCTTAATGGCACCTGAAATTAGGAATTCACATGGATCACCCCTCTTGAAGACACCCCCAAGACCACTTAAAATAATCCCAACTGTGACCACAGCCCCCACTGAGGGCCCCCACTCTAATTTTCTAATTTGTGCATCACCTCAGCCTAAGAAAATCTCTCTGCGCTGTCACTGACAATGTCCTGCAGTTACTTTCTGTGATGTAAGGCAGTGAACCGAAAACCTACCCCGGGGGTTCAGTGCACTGAGGCCACCGTCTTCTCTTTGAGGGACTTTCTCAGACCCCGTTTGGCTATAAGAACATGACAGAGTATACACATAAATGTAGAGGGCTAAGAAGACATCCTTAAGGTGACAGTTTCACAGCACTGCTAATCTACAGTGCAATCATTCGCTGACCCAAACATGTTTATGCACTAGCTGCAAAATTCTGACTCTTGGAAAATTAAAGTCAGGGGTTTTTTTTTTTGTTTTTCGTTTGTTTTGTTTGGTTTGTTTGATTTTTGTTTTTCAGGACAGAATCTCACTGTGTAGTGCGAGCTGACCTTGAACTTGCTCTGTAGCCTACACTGACCTCAAAGTCACAGAGATACTTCTGCCTCAGCCTCTTGAGTACTGACAAAATCGTTTTGATGGGGAAACATTTAGCTTCCTTCAAAATATGTAAATTTTTTATGGATTTGGCTATATCCTATTTAATTACTAATTAACAGCCTCAGTGTATCCGTTATGTATGCCTTCTCCTCTATCCATTCTTCTCCAAATTTATACTGAAAATTGCATGGTCTAGTACATGTGCCATTGGAGTTGGCATTGCTACAGGACCCAATCAGGACTGTCATTCTCAGGCTATTTCCCAAGAGGGGGACCAGGACCTGCTTTGAGACAGAAAGTAGTCCCAAAATTGTCCTAATACTTTATCATGACTGTAAGGTTTACAAAATTTTGTCTTCTCTCTAATCAGCTCTCCAGACTGCACAAAATGAAATGAATGGCTTCTTAAAGCTATTTGAGGGCTGGGGATTTAGCTCAGTGGCATAAGCACCTTCCGGGCAAGTGCGAGGTCATGAGTTCAATTCCTGGTACCAGAAAAAAAAACTGTTTAAAAGTTACCTAGAATACTGGGATGGATACACAATAGAAGAAAGTATATGGAAAAAATAATCAAGCTGACTACAGTCAAATTATGTGAAATGATAAGAATTATATTGAGAAGGGGTTTTTTCTAAGTTACTACTGTATTTACACTTTGTTAACTTACTCGTAGGTGTATGAACACATTGCTGGTTTTCATGGCACCTAGTAAATGTAAGGTTCTCTAATGTAGCCAGAGCAAGTCTGCACACATCCCAGATCGTTCCCAATTTCAACTTGCAGGGGAGACCACTGTTCAAATCTTGGTGTTATTCTTTTCTAAAGATTTACTATGACTATAAAATGCTTATTTGGTTTCTTTGTTTCAGTGTGTGTGTGTGTGTGTGTGTGTATGAGAGAGAGAGAGAGAGAAAGAGAGAGAGAGAGAGAGAGAGGGAGAGAGAGAGTTTATGTGAATACACGTGACAATAATGGAATGGAAAATCACTCTCAACAGAACTCTGACTGCATGATGTGTATGTGTCAGAACTCTACCTCACTGCTTTCCTTTCATTGAGAAAAAGGTTGTGTCATACACGGCCATTTTAACTATTAAATAAGTAAACAAATTAAGGGTGTACTTTTTGAAATAACTAGTGTAGAACTGTAAAAGCCTCATAGAGCTGTAATAAGAAGTGAAATCCATCTCTCAAGTCACAGGACTGCATCTGATCTCAGTGTGGGGGAGTTCTTAAATCTGATCTTGTTCTCAGGCAGACGAGCCTGATGTATATTCCGTGAATGTGGCTTTCACAAGCTTGCCTGTTTAACCGTCTCTCTCACATACTAGAACAGAAGTAGATTTTTGTATTTAGAACATGCTTTCATGTACCTGAGACCCAGGACACGTTGAGGAGGAACAGATATTTTGCCTGCTGTTTATTGTTTGTTTTAGGGTTTCGTTCTGCTGCACTGCATGGCTACTAAATCTGGTCTAGAGCTCAGGCTTAGACATCCAGCTCTTCTCCGTGTGTTCTTCCCACAGTCCTGGCTCTTAGCGCAGAGCTGAGCTGAATATGCCGAGATTTTTCCAGCTGAGACACTGTGTCAAAAAAGAAAAAGAAAGGATTACAAAGCTGAAGCCTATGAACTCATAATGGAGAACATCAGGGAAAAAAATCAACTGAATAAGCAGAATGTTTAATTGTTTTTTCAGTTAAGTCTAACATCCAGGGCCCAGAAAAGCCCCGGGATGTCTGTCTCTCCTGAAGGAACTATTTCACTTTAGATCTTTGTGACTCAGTCACTAAGGCTAATGCACTGTGAATTAAATCCTCAACTATTAACTTGGGAGGTAGACTCTGGAGGTGTGAACAGTCAGTAAAACTGCAGTATCTCATCAACTACATAGCACAGAGTGAGGACTTTGGTCTCCAGGTGAGTAAGCCAGGGTGCGAGGAGGTACTGCTGGACACCAAAGATGCTGGCCTAACGTGGAAGGGCCACCACTCTGCCTTGCTTGACGATGGTCCTGTAACCTCACACTGTACCCCTCAGCACATGACTCACCCGTGAGTAGCCATGTTTTCAGCCTGAGCAGATAAGCTCTGACACTTGCAGGAAAGAAATCAAGGAAGGTAACTAACCACTTACTAGAGAAACAGACATTTGCTGATGATAAGGATACAAGAAACAAGTCTTACAGGATCCTCCTTCTTTCAGAGGAAATTGTGATCTGCTCTGAACAATACAAAACTGTACTAACATTATCTTAAAAGCAACATGCTGATCAGACCTTGCAATATGTGAACTCAGCCAAAGCCCTGGTCCAGTCCAGGCTTTGAGTGTGCACCTTCTGCTAGATTCCATTTGCCAAGGCTATACTTTCAGGGTCATTTCTATAGTATGTTACTAGAGAAGCTTCTCTGACTGTGTAGATTCCATCTGCCATGTTACAGGAGTAATCTGCACTATGGTTTTATTTTGTCGAGATGAGTAATGCACAAGATTTTTATATTCAGTAATAAAGAGAAAGGGAAAAGGCCAAGGACAGATTTTCTTTTATGAATATGCTCCTGTTGATTCCGAGAGATCTTCCATATTTATGATATCAAATGCACCTCTCCATGGACGACCTGGTCAGGTTATTGCCCAGATGTAAAGAAGGCTGGGACTTGCATTACTTTTCTGGAGAGAGGAAGCACCTCCAAGGGGAAGCAATGGTGTGGTGTCTGTTGCTTTGCACTGCTAATCCCGTAAAGTGACCAATACAGAGGAGAAAGAGGGCGGCAGCCGGGCAAAACCAGCATGAAAGTCTCCTAAAACTAACACATGTAAGGTCTGTGGCCTTTGCTGTTTATCTTGTATGCACGTTATTTCTGTCCATGGAAATCATAAAAATACCTCTCAATATCTTGTGTGATTTAAGTACTTTAACAACTCCAAATAATTCATCATGCATAGATGAAAAATAAAAGGCTCAATAATTATTAGCTGTTGAGTCATCTGAGACCTGGAATTTGTCTACCTAGATTGGTGAACAGGAGAAAAAAGACACACACAGAAAGAGCAGTGTGTTTTCTTTCTCTATCATGAAACTGGTTATCACTGTAGTGTTAGAGGAGTAAAGAGACATAGAAACTAGGACTTTGTTAAACATGCTTCTTTGCTGGGGATCTAGCTCAGCGACATAGCACCTGCCTTGCAAGCGCGTGGTCATGAGTTCGATATCCAGTACCAATTTTAAAAAATGTTTCTTTATGTAGAGCAACAAATAATTCAGAAGAAGGTAAGAGGGTAGTGTGCACACTGATAATTTACAAAAATGTGCAATGTTCATGGATGCGAAAGTCAGGTGAATAAAGAAATTGTGACAGATTGATAGGCTGGATTCATAGCATATATGTACAGGACACCAATGAAGAATTTTAATCTACAGAAAGACAAACAACTTATGTAGCTAAATTCAAGAGCAAAGAGAATGATGCAATATTTTATTCATTTTTACCACCTGAAAAGCTGACCCCTGCATGAGATATGCTGTGCTGTGGAGAGAGGGTAGCAGGTGCTCAGGGGAGGGATCGACCCTTCTGCCAGGATGCGGCAAAGAGTGGAAGGTCAGCCTCAGTGTCCCAGCATAAGGGCAAACATTACACAGTGTAGGAGCACTTGGAAATCTGTAGTAATCATATGAACATCAAACCAGGCATGGCAGCTTATCTGTAACCCCAGCACTTAGGAAACTGAGTTATCCAAGACCTGGAATTTGCCTACCTAGTTTGGTGAACAGGAGAAAACAGACACACATAGAAACAGCAGTGTATTTTCTTTTAGGAAACTGAGGCAGAAGTTCAAGGCCAGCATGAACTGCATAGGAGAACCCTGTCTCAAAAAGACAATAAATAGATAGAAATATAAATAAACATCTAAATTTTTTACATTGCTTATGCCTTACATGAGTTCTGAGATTACTACTGATGTGTATTTTTGGGGTGTGTGTGGGTATGTGTGTGTGTGTGTGTGTATGTGTGTGTGTGTGTGTAAAGCTAGATTTCAGGTCACACATGTAGCATGTAAAACTTAAGTAAAAAGAAATGAAGATTACCACTTAAAGTTTGCATGACTGACCTTCCCTAATATTTTGAAAAGCATGTGCTTTAAGTTATTTTAATGGCTTTTGAAGCTGTTAAATGAATACTATTGCAGTGATTAAAATTATGTGAACCTTTCCATTTTCATAGCAATGTTAAGTCCCAATTTCTGGGACTTCTAGGAAGAAACTGGAAAAATCGAAGACCAGAGGCTTTGCAGCCTCGGTGTAGCCCCTGAGCATAGAGTGCCACCCACCACCTCAGTCCCATGTCTCCTTCAGCCTCGGACCTCAGCGTGCAGCAGTAGTGCTCTGGCTGGTCAGGGTGCCCAGCATGCCCAACGCTGTCATCTCAGGCAGTGCTGATAACGGCCTGCAAGGAATTTTCTAGTCACACCTGCACCATATGCATGGAGCATGGCTGTTTTCATCCTCTGCATCCTTGCCTGTATCCTGTAGTCCTCTACCAACTGAACATTGTTAGGAATTCTGCCTGTAGATGGCAGAATTTGGGAAAATATCATGTCAGATCAAGCTAGCAAAATGCATGTGCATTTCTCTGTGGTTCCTTTAATGCATATTATATTCACTACGGAATTATAACAGCTGAACAGGGTGGCATGGGCCTGTAATCCCAGCACTTGTAAAGCTGAGGCAAGAGGACCGTCATGAGTTTAAGGCCAGCGTAGGCTACAGAACGAGCTTAAGGCTCCTCTGAACTATGTAGTAAAACCCTGTCTCAAAAAAAAGTTGTAACAATACTGGTTATTGCTAATAGCCTGCTTATAAAGAATGTAAGGAAGGCCTAGTACTGATTATGTGTTTTTCAAAACTCATGGTAAAAAAAGATATATACATTGTGCATTGTAAGTGCACCAAGAAGAAAAGAGGGCTGGCTGTAAAATTTGGAAGGTATAAACGGCTGCAGTCATAACACTAAACCCAATTTTCTTCTGCGGTCCCCACCACAGTAAGAAGCTCTGAAGGCCCAGACCATTTGCTCTGCTGTCAGGCTGACTGGTTGGTTGGTTTAGGCATTATATTTTACTGTGCACCCAGGCTGTTCTTATATGCCTGGGCTCAAGTGATTTCCCTGCCACAGTCTTCCTAGTATCTGGGACTGTAAACATGTGGAATTATACCTGGCTAGATTTTAGATAACTTCCAATTTATTCTCTGGAAAGTTTCCAAATATTCTATATTAATGGGCCACAATTACTTCCCAATATGCCATTATGCCTCACTATTTCAATTTTTAATTATTTTTGGTACAAGAAATAATTTTGAAAAAGTCAGGCTTAGACATATAACTACCTTAGAAAACAAATTTCTACAGGTAGAATATATTAAAGTCAAACCGTTCCATTAAGCCAGCTGTGGTGACAGACACCTGGAATCCTGGCCACTCAGGGCCTGGCGCAAGTTCAAGGCCAGACGGGCAGTGAGCAGTGTAGCAAGACCCGTCTCAGAAGCAAAATGATAAAACGTGTAGACGTATCTAGAATGCCCAAGAGAAAAAATCCTTCAAAATCTGACTAGTGAAAATTGCTCTAGAACTCTTTTTGAAAAATGGCATAATTCTCACCATGGCTTTTTTTTTTTTTGGATCTATTTATTAAATGTGCACAACCTAATTTTGAAATCTTATTAGGATAATTTAGCAATTTTGCTTTTATCAGCTATTTAGTAGCTCAGTCTATAGTTCCCAGATACTTTCCAAGATTGTATCAGCTCTTTATTTATATTTTTGGTTCTCCTATAATAGAAAGCCATGTGACATCAGGCTCATACGTCTGATTTATTTTACTTAATATTATGGTGTCATGTTGCATCCATTTTCCTACAAATAAGTGTAGCTTTATGACAGAGTCGTGCTCCATTGTGTGTTCATGCCACATTGTTCTACCCATTCATCTGTTGATGACACACAGGCTGCTCTCAAGACTCAGGTATTATGAATTCTGCTCCTATAAACAGAACATGCATGTGTCACTGTAATATAATGTCTGTAATTCTTTCCTCAAAATGGAATAGCTGGGTCAGAGACAGGCAACGGGAAGCAGTGAGGTGGGCCTTTCCAGAAGGGGGACCATGAGATGGACGGAAGAGATGGGAAAGGGAAGGGAATGAAAAGATGGATAAAGATGTCATGTACACGTACCAATTTCGCCCAAAGTTTTCACTGCAAATGTGTACTAATAAAAATAAAGGTTTCTTCAGCTCACCTGAAAACAAATAAGGACTATCAAAGCAAAAAATTAAAGGCTGAGGAGGAGGAGGCAAAGAACCTGCACACGGTGTTACTGTGGTGTCACCCACATGTGCCTTCTATGCTTTAAGTCCTTGCCTATGAAGTGATGCTCAGTACCATTGTGTGTAGGCACAAGGAGATTATTTTCCATATGCCTGGCAAGACCCAGGACCAGTGTCTTCTTCAAAGGTCAAGCACACTTCCCTTCACTCGTCTTTCTGCTTCTGTCCCCTTAGTATGCAGACTTTCTTCTTTCCGCCCAATGCTAGAGAGTGGCATTCTGTTTTTTCAGTTCCTCAGGGCCCTGGCCCTTTTCCTCAGCCCATCTATGTACTTGTTTGACAAAACCCAGGTTTAGAAAGAACCCTGGTAAATCAGTTTAGCAAAACACGTCCCTCCATCCTCAATCCATGATCATGTTCCCCAGCCACTGTCTTACCCCAGGTGGCATGTGTCACTCTGCTCCGTCTTCAGCAAGAATCCCATCGGCGATCCCAGCCAGAATCTCCTTCGTAACTGACGTTACTGCTTAGTAATTTTCCATCCACTAACCCCTATCCTGATCCCTAATTATAAGTTCCCACTTGCAAAGGATGTACTATGGACTGAACTCCATCCCTCCCCCTCGCAGTGTAAAATCCTGTTGGCGTGGTCCCTACGCCTACCTGTGGTGCTCCTGAACCAAGGATGCCTACCCTACTGTAACAAACATCATTTGATATTCTTCGTTTCCTTTCACAGATGATTTGAAGAATAGAGCTGAGGGTCCTGAATCTCCATGCAGGTGAGAGTCTCACGAGGCACTTGTCCAGGTAAGAATCCTCCCGTTCTTTCTTTGTTCATGCCAATAAAATCATGGGCTCAGTGTAGGTCTCGATAGTTTTTCAGTCAACAGTTTAGCACACATAAGCTGTGGCATGATGCAGCTCATGAAAACAACTGACTGCAGTGCTCAGCTCACATTAAAATTGATGGCAGTCCATTGCTCCATGCGTGTATCTTTGCATCTGTTACATAACCCCAGTGACACCTTCCTTTTTACCACGTTACACGTGAACAAGCTGAGACTGTGACTATATCCCTTCCTTGACATCATACCCTAAGGGTCAGACCTGAGGAATAAAGTGACATGAGACAGACCACAAAACTCACTTCTGGCCGTAAGTGCTCTCATCAGCCCAGAACACCGGGCATGGCTGGGGACAGGCTAAATATATTTCATCACACCTTTTCTCCCTGGTTTATCTTCCTGTCCTACAACACTGCAACTGGGCTTGTCTGCGGGCATTAGCCAGTACAATGAACTTAGGAGCTATTCCCTGGAGTAGCATGGGGGCCATGAAGGCACTGTCTGAGAGAACTTTTACTGTGACATTGCAGTCTCTGCTGCCTCACCTCCAGACAGAACCATTCTGACCTGAAGGCTAGCAGAAAAATGGCTAAAAATTCTTTTGGATGCTGCTAAAGCTGCTAGCCAGATCATCAATGCAGACTGTGTTCACGCAAGGCAAAAGTTTGTTGCTAGGCACTGGGATCCTTGGATGCCTGCCCAGTAGATTCATTTAAGTTTAGTTTGCATAAGTGGGTGAATTGTCATTTGTTCCTCTCTAGTCTCCTCCTCCATATGTGTCATTATTTTAAGTCCTTGGGGTTAATTTCATTTTTTTAAATTGTAAAAACAATATTTTTATAGTGCTAGTGATTGGATCCAGGGCTCTTGCATTACTAAGCAAGCACTGTACCACTGACCTATACTTCCATGCGCCCAAACACCAATTTTTAGCATCTAAATAGGGTACTAGACAACCACCCAAACACTGATTTTAGGTATTTACTTAACACAAAGTTGTGCACAGTGACTTCCGTGTGCAGCCAAGCCTCTTCTTTTTCCATTTCACCAGCACTCCTATAACCAAAAGACTGGCAATGGAGCTCATAGATCTCTCTAGTTATATTACTGGACGGGATCTTAGAAAGTTCCCCAAAGACAAGATATGTATGGCCCTCGACTCGGCCTGCTAAGTGGGCTCTTAATTCACATGATGGAAGAATTTCAGGAGGTAACAGTGATGTGCAGATTCATTAGGCAGAATTAGAAAGTAAGGAAGACTAGGAAAAAGAAATTGAGTGAGTGGAAGGACAGGTTCAGACTGGCCCACTCCACAAAGCACAAGGCCAGCTTTTATGGATAGCTCAGGATGGAGGCGGCATAGTAAATCATTACCTCAGTCCTGGTCCTTGTTGCACGGCTCTGGAGCAATTCTTAGCCTTGAGGAGTAGTTCATTCCCATGAGACAACTGTCCTCAGGAGGGTGATCTTGTCACAGGGTAGTCTAGGGGGCTCTGATTTTCCTAGAACCCAGATAATTGTAGTTTTAATACGATGGTGCGACAATGTCTAGTATTGATCTGGGCGATTTGGAACTGAATATTCTAAGCCTTGCAATTGTATATCCCTGTAAATCATGGAAATTATTACTCTTTATCTTGGAGTCTCGGTCTTAAAAGGAATTAGATAGGCTAGGTAAATTTTTTTGTGTGCTTTTTGTTTTTATCAGTACCAGGGATCGAACTCACAACAGCACACTTGCAAGGAAGGTGCTTATGCCCCTGAGCTAAATCCCCAGCCCCAGGGTAGGTAAATTTAAGGCTAATAAAATTTGTGTCATCAGTGTTTCCTTAATGGTTAACATTCTTACTACAGATTAAATAAGGAAAACAAGAAATTGGGGCCCCCTGGTCTCCTTTCTGCCTCTCTTGGTCTGGCCTACCTCAGTTGCCCCCAACCATTCCACTTTCCTCACAGCTGCAAGCCAGACCTCTGTAGGAGACTGCCTAAGACAAAGGCCAGCCATCCTTCCCCATCACCTTCTCCACACTCCGTTAAGCACCTGGAATCCTTTCTATTTCAAACACTCCACAAGACTAGCCAAAGATGCTGGCGCTGGTGGGGCACCTTGCACTCCAGGGGTAGCCTGTGATCCTCAGGCAGGCGGGCAGCAGGACTCCACATAGACCACCCAGCACCCTAGTTTCTCCCCGGTTACCCTGCAGCTTCCTGGCCCGATTTTCATTTGTAGTTCCTTGACCATTCAGCGATGCTGAGAATGTTTTCTTATAACTTTGGCTGTTTAAATGTCTTCTTTGGAGAAATGTCTGCTTAGGCATTTGCTGACTTTTAAGTCATGTTTTTGTCTTCTTGCTATTGTTCAATTTCTTAAGCATTTTGTTATGAAATTCTTTTCAGATTCAAGGTTTACCAATATATTCTGCCATCCCATGGGTTCTCTTCACTCTGATTCCTTTCACCTTATTTTTGCCTTTTTTACCTGTCTTTTTTAATATCATAATGCAAAAAAAAGCATCTCAGAAGCTTGTTCTCATGGAATTTATCCCGATCATCTCCTTTAGTAGTTTTTACTACATAACAGCCCTCTGATTACTTCATTTTTTGTCTTTCTGAGACAGGGTCTCTATGTAGTTCAGCTGGCCTTGAGCTCGATTTGTAGCCCAGGCTGGTCTCAAACTCACAATGACCCTCCTGCCTCAACCTCCCGAGTGCTGGGATTATAGGTGTGAGCCATCACGCCCGGATTCTGTTTACTTCGAGTTGATGTTTGTATATGGTTTGAGATAAAGGATGATGATTTTTAAAACTATCAGAAACTTATATGCAGAAACATTGTGAGTTTATTCCATGAAATGCACTGGCCTTTAGTAGACAGCAAATCCTTTTAGAGAACAATCAAAATAATGCTTATTTGACAATGCTTCCTTATCAAAAAAAACCTTTAAATAATCCTACTTCACTTTTGTTTCCTTATTTCTTTATTCCTCACTCATTTCTTATTCACGTTTTACTACTTGCATTTGAGTCTTTGAACCTTAGTTACGTACATTTATAGTGAAAAACTAGGAAATAAGCAGTTACAAACCATCTACCTATATTCCATAGACAAATTAATGAATATACTATTTTATAAATTCCAAAATCATATAGTCCCTACAGCAATAGTAAAAATTTTCAGTGTGCCTCTGACATGTATATTTGTCAACAAAACAGCTATAGTTCCTCTGCAATAATAAGCACAAAATAACCTATTTTTAAATTTATGTTCAGCCAGGCATGGTGGCCCACATCTATAATCCCAGGACTCAAGAGGCTGGGACTAGGAAGTTCTCAGTACCTAATGTTTCAGTATTTTAGTAATGGAGATATTCAATGAATATCCATCTTCATTTTATTTAGTGTAACTTTAAACATATAAGTTACCAGGGCCCAGGATTTAGCTTGGAGGCATAAGCACCTACCTGACAAGCATGAGGTCATGAGTTCAATCCTAGGTACCAAAAAATAAAATAAACATGTAAGTTACCAAGAAATAAAATAAACATATAAGTTACCAAAAAATAAAAAACTTAAAAAACTAAAGTTATCAAAAAGTTTTAGGAAACTATTTTTAAACACAGATATTATTAAAATTCTTTTTGTAAATAATTTTATAAACTTATAAATCTTACAAACTTTTACTCTACTTCTATTGTTTTAATTGCATTGAAAATTTCATGAAACATGAAATAAAGATAGCTAATACCTTATTTTTGCTATTGTCAACAAATCAAGAAAGTACACAAAAAGTCCAGAAGCATAGAATCTAACAAGCTAAACATATTTTTTCTTTCTTTTTCTTGGCATGCTTGATATATACCATGCAATTCATCTTTACTGTAAATTTTCCTTACATTACATGTATATTTTTACAATTATAAGCATCTAGCCTTGTGAGAATCCAGCTAACCTGAGCCCTGATCACTGACCCAGAAAAATGAAAATAAAACATATTTGTAAGCTGCTAAATTTCTAGTACTACAGAGTCTTCTATTAACTCTTTTCTCTGGGTGAATAAGGAAACAATTGTTTAAACAAAGTCTTCAGTGGAAACAAGACAAGTTTTTGGTAAGAAATGGAAGCACTGTGAAATCAGTGATGCTGGGCTTCTCTATGTTACATTTATATGCATGTTACTGCAGTACTTGAGAAGTTTCAGGAAGACACTGAAGTTGCAGACAGAGAGAAACACAGCAGAGTTTTCTTATCATTAGTAGTTACTCAGTTGGATTGTTAATACTGTAATATCAAATCAGGCATAGTGGCATGCACCTGTAATCCCAGCACTCAGAAGGCTGAAACAGGAGGATCACTTCGAGTTCAAGGCTAGCCTCGGCTACATAGTGACCCTGCCTCAAAAAGATGGAAAAATAATATTGTAATGGAAAAATCCTTACATGTATGAATCTTGTGATATTAGAAAGAAACCAGCATTTCTGACCAGAAATATAAGGCTTTCTTGGCAGAGAATCCAGATTGTTCTGATTAGTTTACCAACCTTGATGGATAAGTGTGTTTCTTCCAACCTTGACACAAAGTGTGTTGAATGTGTGAAGGGAAGGGACACTGAATTGTGAACACTGAAATGCATGGCAGTCAAGAGCACTTTTGGTCAGAACCTTGCTATAACATCTCTCCCCTACAGCAGATTTCAGTCAGGTACTACTAATGAAACACACATAAACACATTTCCCTGGCCCATAAGAGGAAATATTTCTGGTAAATTCGCTAGTGTGACCCTTCTTTTGCAACTCTTTAGGCCATGACTGTGTATCTTATTCCTGTGTATTCCTCTGTGCTACAGCACATTCCTGAGCTCATTTGCCAAGGGAGGTTAGGAAAGTTGCAGCCTATAACTTGCAATCATATCACCCTTAATCAAGCTATCACCTGCCAAATGAGTGTGCACCTTTGCAACCCAAGAGACTGCAGCATTTCACTGTTATTACAGCCACTGTGGCTGTAACTTCTATGGGATGGGCGACAGTCTACAGAATGTCTTCTGAGGAAGATAAAATGAAGATCTTCTGATGAAGATAAAATGGCAAACTTTACATTCTCAGTACTCATTTCAAGTCATTGTCTGAAAACCAAACAACTTCATGGCAATGGTAAAATGTTTACTGCTTGTAACTGCAGTGGAGGTGTCACTGAATACCATACAGCATGGTGTAATTATGAGGCTGCTGAACAGTGACAGCTGAGCTCACACTTTTACTGTTTTTAGTGTAAATATTACTAAAGAAAAAGATGCTGAAACTTACAGTGCATGTAGATGCAGTTGAAACTGACAATCTGGAAACAAAAAATAAGGGGTTTTTGTTTTTTGGGTATGTGGATCAAACTCACAGCCTTGGGCTTGCCAGGCAGGAGCTGGTGCCGCTGAGCTAAATCCCCAGCACCAGAAAACAGAATTTTTTTTTCCTTTTAACAGAAGTGGCTTCTCTCTATTGTTTCAAGAAAATAGCTTTCCTCTGCTGCAAAACTGTGATAAATAACTGGAGTATACGCCCTAAAGGAAATGTCCATTCTCTGTAAATCTCACTGCAAAGCATAACCAAGCTTAGGAGCATAGCGAAGTCTCATAATTATGGCCAAATATCACCGTTATCAGGGGAGATGTATACACAATGATCAGGAAATAAATACACACTTTAAAAAAAAATCTCTGAAATATCTATTTGCAGAAACCTGAGAAACAGAAAAGGAATTTGTTTTTGTCTTTTTTTCCTTTTTATCGGTACCGGGGATCGAACTCACGACTGCTTGCTTGCAAGGCAGGCGCTTAAGCCGCTGAGCTAAATCCCTGGCCCCCCAAAAAGGAATTTTGAGATTATTACAGCAAAGAAGTCGAACTGTAACATTAGATTTCACTGATATCAGTGCATTTTCTTGTAAAACCTAGTTTTAGCAAAGAACCCTGCTGTAACGGTTTTGTCAACTTGACTGAACTGACAAACACCTAGAAAATTAATATCTTACGTTACTTTCATTATTTAAAAAAATCGTATTCCTAAAGCCAAACACGCCTGTAATCCCAGCACTGTACGAGGTGAGGCAGGAGAATCTCGAATTCGAGCCCAGTTTAAGCCATTCAGCGAGCGCCTTTTTCAAAATAAAAGGGAGGGGCTTAGCTCAGCGCGGAAACTCGGAGTTCAACTTCCGGTAGGGGAAAAAGAAGTCCTATTCCGGGATTGGCCTGAGGAAATAAAGAAAACAATGGTTAACCATTTCTCCTGGCCAATATTACTGTAAAGGACCCATTCCGTGCTCGGGATCCGCCAAATTGTGCGAAGGCTGGAGTTGCCCATTAGCTCTCGCGGGCTGAGAGGAAACAGGAAATACGTCATCAACCAGCGCAGTTCGCTCAGCGGCGGCGCTCCTGGAAGGGGAAGTCGCTGGCAGGAAAATAGTGGCCGGCGGGTGCCAAACCTAATTCGTCCACTGGGGTGGTTACGTGTAACTATCACTTTCGTTTTTGACGTAGGATTTGATTTCTGCGATCGCAGGAAAGAGACATTTTCAGTTTGTTTTTCGTTATTGTGTTTTGAGATTTGTTTAAAAAAAAAGAAAAAACAATGGGGCTGGGGATTTAGCTCAGCGACATAAGCGCCTGTCTTGCAAGCAGGCTTTCGTGATTTCGATCCCTGGTATCGATTAAAAAAAAAAAAAAAGGTGGTCGCGGTGGCGCACGCCTTAATCCCAGCACTCGAGGGGCTGAGGCAGGAGGATCAGTGAAATATCGAGGCCAGCCTAAAAAAAAAAATTGTAATTACTCTCTTAGCAATGTATCCTCTATTATGCATACAGATTTTTAAAAATCCAACCTTTCTGTTCATCTTTTGTTGCCTTTGAATCTGGATTTATGAAAGTTACCCTAAATACTTTTGCTTTTACAGAAAACAAAATAAAAATATTTTCACGTTAAATCTATGGTTACAGAACTTACCTACCAGGAATTTTATGTGCCCTCTTTTAAAAATACTGTTTTGGCTTAGGTTTTTTTTTTGGGGGGGGGCCTTTTGGTTTTTGGATTTTGGATTTTGGTTTTTGGTTTATTTGTTTTTACTTTTGTTTTGTCTTGATCTTTTTTGAGACAGGGTCTTGCTCTGTAGTGCAGGCTGGCCTTGAGCTCACTTTGTAGCCCTGGCTGGTCTGGAACTTGCAAAGATCCTCCTGCGTCAGCGGCCCAAGTGCTGGGATTCAGGAGTGAGCCACCACACCCAGCTGTCTGGTTTTTAATACATTTGTCAACATACTTTTTTATAAGGGTTAAGAGTTAATTTATGGGGGCTGGGGATTTAGCTCAGCGGCATAAGTGCCTGCCTTGCAAGCTGGCAGTCATGAGTTCAAACCCCGGTACCGATAAAAAGACAAAAAAAAAAAAAGTTAATTTATATTTTCAAAAAATATTTGAAATATATACATTGAATATATTCACTTGTGTGTGTCACATGTACACCAACTGAACTGCTGCTCTAGGCTCTTTCTCCAGAGTCTGCAATGCAAATATGCCTTTGAGAATGAGTTGTGCTTTTTTGGGGGGGTGTGTGTATGTGTGTGTGTGTGAGAGAGAGAGAGGTTTTTTGTTTATTTGGTTGATTTGTTGGTTTTGGTTGTTTGGTTTTGTTTTGGTGCCAGAAATCAAACCGCAACCTCATGTGTACCTGACAGGTGCTTGTGCCACTGAGCTAAATCCCCTGTCCAGCCATGAGTTTTCTACACAGGCATGCCACATGCTCACCAATACATTACTGTGATAGGTAGCATGGCTCTTTTTATTCTTGCTTTTAAACAATGGGCATCCAAATGTGTTTTACACCTGTACGCAAAGTTCTTTCCCCTACCTATACATAACCTACAACTAAATTCATTTTCTTTTTCAGTAGTGTTACCTTTGTCACTCTCATTATTGGGACAAAATATCCCATTCCCACAATTCAGAGGCGAATAGATTTAGATTGTCTCCTGGTTTCAGCCCATGGTTGGCAGGCTCCAGCTTAGAAACAGGATGCATGGCAAAGGTAAAAATACTCACCCCAGAGCAGCCAAGGAAGAGACGAGCCAGGACAAAACTACACCCAAGTAACACCCACAGTGACCCATCCCTTTGGACCAGGATCCAAACTTCCAGGAAGCATTCAGTTCTGAACTCTTCAGTTCAGAGGATTAATTCACTGACAGTAGCACCCCCATAGCCCATGCACCTTGCAAAAGTTGGACCTCAGAACCGATGAGGCTTCCGTGGAACATTCCAGATCTAAACCATCACAAGTTTGTAATACACCTTTTAATTATCACTTTTTTCTTTTATTAGTACATGTTTGCAGTGCATCATGTTTCCAATTCATGGGTGGAACTGGTGCATGTACGTAACACATTTTAACTCCTTTTTTTCATCCCATTTCCCTTCCCTTCCTCCCCATTCTTGTCATCCCTTGGTCTCCTTCCCCTTTGAGCAAGATCTAACTCCATACTTCCTGTTATTTATATTTTATTTTGTTCTTTATAGTTTGGATTTTGTATAAGAAAAATCATTTGATATTAAAGCTTGTTACTTCACTTAACATTTGGCCATAAGATGTATCCACTTTCCTATAAATGACTCAAGCTTATCTTTCTTTATGACAGAGTAGTCTGTTCTGTGCAATTGCCACATTTTAAGGCATTTACCTGTTGGTGGATATGCAGGCCGCTTCCAAGAATTAGCTATTATCAATTGTGCTGCTAAAACAAGAATATGCATACATCACCTTAATATGATGTTTTAACTCTTTCTGTAAGATGCCTAGAGAGGGAATATCTGGGTTGAATGGAATTTCTTTTTTTTTTTAATTGGTACCAGGGATCGAACTCACGACTGCCTGCTTGCAAGGTAGACGCTTATGCGGCTGAGCTAAATCCCCAGGCCTGAATGAAATTTCTAATTTTAATTTTTTGAAGCTCTCCATTCTGATTCCCATATGGATTGTATTAGTTTATGGTAATACCAACAATGGGATGTGGTGGCACAGGCCTGTAAGCCCAGAGCTCTGGAGCCTGAGGCAGGAAGATCACTATGAGTTCAAGACCACCCTGGGTAGGGGCTGGGGTTTTAGCTCAGCGGCATAAGCACCTGCCTTGCAAACAGGCAGTCGTGAGTTCGATCCCCAGTACCGATAAAAAAGAAAAAAAAAAAAAAAAGAATAAAAAAAAGACCACCCTGGGTTAAAAAGCGAGTTCTTGATGACCCTGAACTGCATAGTGAAATTCTGTCTCAAAAAGACCAAAAAAGGGCCATAGATTTAGCTCAGCAGCATAAATGCCTTCCTAGCAAGCATGAGGTCATGGGTTCAATCTCTGGTACCACCAAAAAAAAGAAAGAAAAGAAAAAGAGAGGGACAGCTAGATAGAGTGATGTGCCTGTAATCCTAGTACTCAGGAGACTGAGGTAGGAGGATCACCAGGAGTTTGAGGCCAGCCTGGGTTACACAGCAAGTTGAAAGCCAGTGTGTACTGTATTGTGAGACTCTGTCTCAAAACAAAAGAGAAAGAAAGAAAAGAGAAACAAAGGGGCAGAAATTTTCTGGGAGTGATAAGGCAGATTTTCCTTAGAGCCTCAGGCTTAAAAAGCACTGCGAATATTGCTGTTATATGACTTAAATTTTTCTAATTATGAAGGGCAAACACAGACATTAATTTATGAACTACAGGGGCTGGGGATTTAGCTCAGCGGCATAAGCACCTGCCTTGCAAGCAGACGGTCGTGAGTTCGATCCCCGGTACCGATAAAAACGAAAAAGACAAGAAAAAGTTTATGAACTACAATAGTCTCATTCGGTGTAGAGAGCAAACACTTCCATAATCTGTGAGTGTCAATTTCATATTTATTTCCTCCTTATCCAAAAACTACAGATAATTAACTGGAGTCTTTGATTTCCTCCCCTTCATTTTTGTACATGTGCACATGACATTTCCCTCTACTGAGAGACCACAATTTAGGTTTACATCATTTCCTTACATTTTGGTGTATGATTACTGAAATCACTTCCAGTTTTCCATTAAATAAAAAGTTTCAGTTTTCTATTAAATAAAACAATAAAATACATGTATTGGAGGTAACATTTAGTTTTTAATTGCTGGCTTTTTAAAAACTGGAATGCCACATTTCACCTACTTTTCTCTTTAATCATCTAGAATAATTTGCGCGCGCGCGCGTGTGTGTGTGTGTGTGTGTGTGTGTGTGTGTGTGTGTGTGTGTGTTTGTGCTACCAAGTATTGAATTCAGAGCCTTTGCACAGTGACACATCCAAACATTTTTAATTGGAGAGAGTCTGGCTAAGTTGATAAGTTGTTCAGGCTGGGTTCAAACTTTCTGTCCTCTTCCAGCCTCCCCAAATCCTGGGATTGCAGATGCAGCACCACACCCAGATGGCATAATACATTCTAAAGTGTTTATGTTGTGACTCTCCAGATTTCATCACTAAGTGATCCACCCTCTTATTTTTGAGAGGATCAGTTAATACCCGGGTTTCTAGGCTGAACCTTTGGTGTCTCTCTGATGCGGTTTGAGTAGGAATAGATGTTGAATGTCCTTGGCGAGAGAAGATGACATTTCTAAGTGTGGGTGGAGTAGGAATTTCCTCAGATGAATAATCCAAGAGAAAGATAGATAAGGAAAGGACAGAAATGCAAGACTGAAAGAAGCATTCTGGGGTTCTGTCATGGCGTGCAGTGTGGAGGGCACTGATGCCAGCCTGACTGGTGAGAGGACCGCAGTCTGTAGTGAAGGAAGAGTCCTCCGTGAGCATACGTGAGCCGAGGGAGGAATGGAATCAGCAATCTTACAGGCACTTTTGTTTTTGTGAACTAGAGCTGTAGTCAGAAGCTCTGAGCATCAGTACTCTGTTCAGGTCATTTCAAGGCCATATATTAGTTTTAAATATGTAGCTGTTGGCCTGGGGATTTAGCCTGCTGGGATAGGTGCCTGCTTGTTAAGTGTGAGGCTGCAAGTTTGATCCCCAGAACAAATTAATAAATAAATAAAATAGCTGTCACTTTCACGGCACTGCCTGTACAGACAGATCCTATAAGCAATGCAATCTGCATAGCTGTATGATGGGTGTACTATAGGAGAGAAGAAAAGTGATTCTCAGTATTGAAGGAAATTAGAGGTTTTTCAGGGAAAACAAACAAAGAAGACAACTTCACTGGCTTCTTTTTTCTTATGATGATATTTTTGCTCTATTTAAAATGTTTCGTAACATAGTAAAATGTTCAAGTATGAAAATCACAGGAAATGCGTGGAATGCCTCGCCTGGTTTATGCACACTGGCTGTGGTATGCGTGAGGAGCAGCCCTTA